AAAAAATGCATGTAACGATAGATTTATGTGTGAGGATATATACTTCAACATTATTTTAATAGCAAGTTGTAAACACAACAAATTTCAATAAGTAAATAATTCAATAAATCCTGACATATCCATTAATAGATTATCTTATGCTATTAAATCAGATTTTTAAAATATTGGAACTATTTGTTTTCTATATGGGAATTCAATGTCTATTGCACACTCCCCCCTCACACACAAGTCCTAGTTAGATTAAAGATTAAATAATGAAAAAAATCCATAACTTAAAATAAAAAATCATGAGAATATTTTTTAAATTAAGATAAGGAAAATGCATTTAAACATAAAAATCAGAAATGACAAGAGATCAGAGTTAGAAATAACTCTCAGACTCCCCTGTGAAAAGGTCAATTGACTCTCAAAGGAGTTGTGACCCACAAGTTGAGAACAACTGTCCTAGAGGGAAGGAAAATAACTCTTCAAGATATGAAGTCTAAAACTGACATGCTATAATCTTGGGTCTAGGGAGAGTTTTTTTGTTTTTGTTTTTGGTCAGGACCGATAGCTCCCCAGTAGATGCACAGAGACTTGACATTAAATATAAATGCTTGGCTGATAGTTTGGGCTTGTCTTCAGCCAGCTCTTACAATTAGATGAATCCATTTCTATTAATCTATGTGCTGCCCCAAGCTTGTTTATACCACCTCCCATGTGGCTTCTTCCATGGCTGACTCCTGAATCCTCAGACTTCTTCCTCCCAGAATTCTCTCTGCCCCCCCAATCCTACCTATCGGCCAATCAGCTTTTTATTAACATTTTCCCAGTGTACAGAAGGATTACTCCACAGCACTTGGGCAGCAATACATACTAATGATGAAAAGCAGTGTGGAGGAGAGGCTAGCTGTCTGGAGCCCCTCAAGGAGACAGAAAGAAAACGATGACATTTTTGCCCTCTAAATCACTATCCAGAGAGCACAAGGCCCCATGCTCACCCCTAAGCCCACTGGTCTCTGCCCTAAGTTATGTGAACTGACCATACCAGGTCTTCTTTCCTCCACTGCTGGCCTAATGTCCTCAGTCAAGTCAAGGCCGTGACGTCAGCAGGCTCACTCCAGCTCTACTGAGTAGGTTAACAAGAAGCAGGCCATTATGGAGTAGGCATTAAGTAAAGGCCATGACTAAAGGGGAAGTCATATTAGTCTTGACGTGAAAGCTCAAAAAGGACTGAAGAAGCAGCTTAAGCACCTAAGGCTACAAGTGAATACCCTTAACATCTGCACAAAACCATGGACAGTTCCCATGTCCATATCTTTGGGTCTGGATAGCGGCTCAGGCTACCTAGCCTTGGCTGGCACTTTGGGATGTAGAGACCACAGCCTCCAATGGTGCCTCCTTCTTGCTTGTATCCAATGGCAGGAGTAGAATGGAGACTGAGTATAACCACGATGAGATCACTCCAACATCTCCAATAACCCAGCCCTGCCTATCTCTGATTCAGGGTCGGTCCCTGCATAACACAGGAGCCGCCAAGATCGTGTACCCAATGTTCTGCTTTTCAAGTTTAATAAATATAATTCCATAGAGAGATCAAGTTCACTTGGCATCAACTCTCACAACAGACAAAAGTATGAACCAGGATCCAAGAAGGTTAGGGTGATGTCATTCCATTGCTTGAGACATTAACAGGAGTGTATTGCCATTAGTGGAAGTCATATTTTTGTGATATGTTCCTTGATATTTAAGTTGTCCCATTATGGGTTTGTAAACTTGTTCTGTGTGTGCATGTGTACATGTGTACACGGATGTGTGTGTGTGTTTACTCATTGTTTGCTTCAGGAGACTGTCACTTACTTAATGATAATAAGTGATTTTTGAAGGACTGTCTAAAAAAAATTAAGAGTGTATTTCTGAACAACGAAAGCAAGAAACCCTTCACTATGGAACACACCCCATCTAGAGCATTGCAAAAACAATGCTTAGCTGTTGCCACCTCCATCCACATCAAGGGAGAATGTCCAGAGTGCTGTGGTTACCTAGAACTGAAGTTCTTCCCTTACGCCTGCTGTTTTATGAGTATCAGAGTGTTACTCCTTACAAAAGTGCACAAGAAAGACTGATAATAAATTCTAAGGCATAAACCCAGCATGGTGGCACACACCTTTAATCCCAGCAGCAGGTGGATCTATGAGTTTGAGGCAAGCTTAGTCTACAAAGCAAGTTCCAGAACAGCCAGGGATACACAGAAAAACTGTCTCGAAAAACAGCCACTTCCCGATACACACACAAAAACTCGGAGGTATAGCATCAAGATTCAGAAGTAGCCTAGCATTCCCTGAGTTACCCCGGACAAACATCCCACTGCTGGCAGGGAGGGTGGAGACTGTAGTAGAGTTAAAAGTTGGGGTCAATTTTAAGTGATATTTAAGTGTGATTTAGAATGTCACAGGGATTGTGAAATAGAAGATGGCAGAGACCCTCCCACCCCCTAATCAGCAGACAGTAAACATTGGCAAAGGGCAGGCATGGACAAGCATATACACAGAAGTAACACTGATTAAATTGCTACCAAGAAAACAGTATTTCTAACATCAAATTTAATCACAGATGAAGCAGCAAACCTAGGTGCTCCCTTTACAAACATATTTTTCATCCCTGAATCAAAAAATTCTTAACTATTCTAAAGAAATCCCTTAGGGCCTTTAGATGGTTCATATAGCATTTCAAAGGCCTGTAGGTTGCTTCCAACATGCCCAGTAGGGAACTAGGAAATTGTACTTCTGCCAAAAACTGATTTGCCAAAGGAGTCCCCTGTAGGGCATGCGGCCACTTTTTACAAAACAGTCTCTAACACTTGAAAATTATGAATGCCTTTCTTCATTTGAACATACCTCTTTCTCTTCACCTTCTTCCAATGCAGTTTGGAAAGTGACTTGAAAAGCTAGGGAGTGGTACACTATGCGGAAGATGATTCTAGACTGTCATTCTGACTAAATGAAGTGAGATGTTTTCCCAACTACAACATAAACACCCAAAAGGCCATTGTAAAACAATAGGTGGCAAAACAACTCAATAATAACTTCACATGTAGGTTATGTGCTAAAAATGCGTTTCAGAGATACCTCGTTAAATAATATGTATTATTAGAGTTAACATTTTCTGTTTCTCCTTTTTCCTTTTATTAGTGCTAGTAACTTTGCATTACACCCATGGCACAGCCAGGCCTCATGTTCTTAGGTATTACCCCCACCCAAGGTTCTCATCTAGTACAACTTGTTATCCATATTGCTATTACTTCTTCTTTTAAATGATTTGATGTACTGAGTTGGCATTTAATGGGCATATTCTACCTTTCATCATCCCCCATTTAAATATGAGAACCATTTTAAGCACAAAGTATTACTTAAGTCAGTCTTCAATGGCAAGTTCATAACAAGGACATGAAAGCCATTTGGAACAGAGAGTGTACTGTCTTCCTGTGACACAAGATACATGGACCAAGGTCATCTAGTAGAATCCATTACCTGGTGTGAAGTCACTAGCAACTCAGCAAACAGACCAAGTGAGGTGAAAACCGACACCTTGCCTAAGGTTAAGACTGTGCTTAGTCACAGATCATAATGCCTGACTTGTGTCCATTTGCTTACAGCCTAATGAATGATATAAACGTCCAGGAAAGTTCCTTGGAATATAACTCAGCCAGGGTTTGTGGGCACCATATGAGAGGCCCCAGTACTGTGTAAGGAAGGAAGGATGAAAAGGAGCAGGGAGTAGAGAAAGAAAAAAGAAGGAAGGGAGGGAGAAAAGTGAGGGAGGTAAGGAGAGAGGAGGGAGGGAGGATGGAAGGAAGAAAGGAAGAAAGGGAGGAAGGGAGGAAGAAAGGGGGGAAGAAGGATTAAGTAAATTAATTTGGGAGGGTTCAAAATATAGCTCAGTGGTAGAGCATCCCAAAGGTTCTGGGTTCAGTGTCAAGAACCAGAGACGGGGATGGGGGGGGTGAGGTGGGGGAGTGGGGGGTGGACAGAGAGACAGACACACAGAGAATGAATATGAATATCATTTCGAAAGTAAAACATACATTAAGCCAGTCATGCAAACAAATTCATTCCCCGACCTACTGAAGAGACGCTGTTGTTACCAGCAGGATGTAAAGAATCACTTCCATGTCTCTTTATTTTGCTTAATTTTTATGGGTAAGCCTTTCCTGTGGCATTTACATTTATTAAATTACAGATGCAACTGTATATATTTACATTTAACATATACACCATTATATATATATATATATATTAGAAAAGCTAAATATAGTTAATAATGTATTATTTCCTAAAGATTATCATCTTTGTGGTAAGAACATTAAAAACTCATTCTCAGCATTTTTCAAGACCACAGTTGCTAACTAGTGGTGGCTTGTGGCTATAAATTCTAGCACTTTGGAGGTAGAGACAGGAGGACCCTTGGCTACACAGCAAGTTCAAGGCCAACTTAGACTACCCGAGACCCTGTCTTAACATCCACCCCTCCCCCAAAAAGAAATCCCTACTGTATTGTTAACTCCAGTTAGTGGTACTAAATAGATCTTTGAATGCATCCCTCTGCCTAGCCTCTAACTGAAACGCTGAACCCTTCCCAGCATCATCTCCCCCAAGTCTCTCCCACCAACAATCACTTTTCTCTGAGTGTAAACAAGAGGAGACATCAGCCTATGGATATTCTCTCATCTCTTCTTGCTTGGACATTTTGAATATTCTGGATACTTTCTTCCTACAGAGAATGTTGCATGAACGCAGTGACTTTAGAAAATTACACACACGATGACAGCTTGAACCTTTGAAACCCTGTGATTAAGAATTCATAAAGTCATACTCTAAGAACTGTCCCCGAAAGTTTGCTAGAACGGTGGTCCTAAGAGGGCATTCCATGTCATCTTTGAGAAGCCAATACAAGGTCTTTGTGCCGACTGGCCAGGGTGCTCACTTCCCAGAGCCACAGGAGCCACGCCCTGCATTACCCACCTTGTTATCCTCTAGGTTGATCACTTCCAGGAGGTCGTGGTTCTCCAAGCCCTGGAGGCTACTGATCTTATTGTAGGACAGATCCAGCTTCTGCAAGGCTTTCAGATCCTCCAGACCTGTGATGGTCTCAATCTGGTTGTTGCTCTACAATGGATACAATAGTTTGTGTTGGAAAGCAATGTGCAAGAAAGGTACAGAGTGGGAAATCTTCGTATTTGGACATGGGCCCCAGTTTCTTCAAAATCAAAAACAAAACAGTAAGTTGTTCTTCCCCCATCCCCGTTTCCACCCCCACCCCACTCACATACTGAAGATGAAAGGACAGGGTATCATGTTTTCATGAGTATTTTTAATATTTTCATCTCCACGTTCAACTTTTCAGTCAGCGCTAGGAAAGTCAAACATTAAGTAATAGACGCTCTTCATGGTGCGTGCTATGATGTTAGTCCTTTGACTTTTCAAACTACTTCATTTATTTTTTGAGGTTATAATTATGTCCTTTCCCTCTTCCCTTCCTTCCCTCCAAACCTTCCCATATAACCCTCCTTGTTCTCTTGAAAATCCATGGCCTCTTTTTTTCCCATTAAGCTTTAGTACAAACATGCTGTCTGAGAAGGGATTCTCAACAAAGGATTGGTGAGATGGGTGGGCATCCCTGGGATGGATTATAATGATTGGGGTGGGAAGCCCCACCCACTGTGGGTACCACCCCCTGGCCGAGAACTCTGAAATGTACAATAAGAATGAGAGTTGAACGCTCACACGCGTGCTCTAATACATTGCTCTTCTGTGACGTATGTGAGTCCCTCAGACATGTTCTCTGTGGCTCCTGCCGCTGTGATTGCCCTGCTAGGATGGATTGTGACTCAGCACTGTGAGTTGAAGAGACCCTTCCCCACTTAAGTTGCTTTTGCCACAGTAGTTTGTCAATGCGAGCAACTGGAAAAGCCACTAAGACACACACCCGAGACCTAAATACCAGTCATGGCCTGAACGCACGCTTTTAGCGCCATCACGGTAAGCCAATACCGTGACTCCCTCATACACTTTGTTTCTAGAAACATTCTGAAGTGACATCATCTCACAAAGTCTGCAGGGATAGTTGAGTTGGCAGAGTCTGGGTAGTACCTCCTCTTTAAGCCTATAAAACCTCCCTTAACCAGAGTATGACAGAAATATGTCCTGTAAGATATGACCAAGCCATTCCTACTTTCAGGTCCTAGGAGCTCTAAGATACCATGTGAGAATTCCGGCCATTCTACTATGGACAAGTCTTCCATACAAGCAGAAATCACATGGGAAAATACCCTGAGACTAAAGCGCAGACTGACAGGCTGATACCTATGAGTCAGTACTCTGAGACTAATAGAAAATCTAGCCATCAAAGCATCCCATATGAGTCAACCTCACCCAACCAATATGTCAGCAAACCCATCAGAAGGAACAGCCCCCTCCCAACCCAGGACAGGGTGCAGAACTGTTAGCTAACAACTATAGTTATTCCCCCAATGCCATTACAACCGGGTAGCTTACTATACAATGATAATCAAGCTTATTTTTTCAGTAATTCATATATAAGCATCTCTCAGACAATGAGAACAGGAGGAAGTTACCCATACTCAAATGATAGTCCTCCTTCTCAGACCCCACATACTCATAGCAATAGCAGTAATAGCAATAATTTTCATTTTTGAGTATTTCCAAACATACTCCAGTCCTTGGCTCTTTTTCCTTAAGGAATAGAATAAGTTCAAATTTTCAGTTAATAATATGCTTTACTTATCCTTATAACATTCAAAACTTTCAGGCCAGATATGGTGATGCAGAGGCAGGTAGATCTCTGAAAGTTCAAGCCCAGACTGTACATAGTGAGTTTAGAACAGCCAGGACTACATAGAGGACTCTGTCTCAAAAAAAAAAAAAAAAAAAAAAAAAAAAAAATCAGAACTTTCAATATCGACTTAAGAACTGAAAATTTAAATTACTGTATCCCCTTTCATCTGAATATTTTCACTGGAAATGTTTATTGGCACATAGAATAGCAAGAAACTCACTTTGATCCTATTTTTTATAAAATTTCATTTCAATAATGAACCAGATTTGTGCTCACTAGTATAATTCTATAACCCCTTAAAATATCATAATAGAATGTTAATAATCTTTAAAGGTGGGATATAGCCCATGAGGGCTTATTATACTATTCTTTTTACTTCTATATGTTTGAAAAAATGTAATAAAAAAGAAAAAAAAACCCTCATAACCTTATTTGCCAAAGTGAAATCAAATTTTCCTGTTCAAAGTTCAAAAAAGTTATAAAAAATGAAAAGTAATAGGAAAGGGACCGTGCTGCGCTCGCCATCCTATCCATATCAATTTAATGTATTGAAATGAGGGCTCAATCTCCCATTCAGACATGGCCCACATATCAAATTTATATACAATACACTTTCCCCCAAAAGACTGAGACGCACTTTCTGTACGGAGGACAGATGTTCTATTCTTCAGTGTCTCTGATGGCTTTCAAAGTGGTAGATGGTCTGAGCAGAGCAGGGCATAGAAAAGTTTAATTAGCCAGCCTGTGGTTGTGAAAGAGAGGAGACTAAGAGAAGCTGAGAATCACAGCATTTCTGATTGAAAGCCCTGATATAGGGCCTTTGTCCTGCACTGGGAACCCAAAGGCTCGCTCCTGGGTGTGGACATGAAGAAGTTTCTGCATACCCTTCCTCCAGCCTTGTAGTGAGTAGCGGAAAAAACACTTTGAGAAGTAAATTGTTGGAAGTAAATTAAATTAGGAAACAATCCTCATCAACCAGTCTGTCGGGGGAAACCGAGCTGGCTTTTACTCCAACAAGGGGAAGTTCAAGCTTTGCCGTGCATTATCACTGTGTTCTAAGAAGGACAGAAGGGACCGTGGCCAAGCCGGGAGGTTCCCTTGCCCACAAAAGATGAAGGCAAAGTATTGGGAGATGGTTTGTTATCGTCACTATATTATAAACTGAATTCTTGTCACTAGATAAATCAAATGGTTTTTCTGACTCCGTGAATTAAAAGTAAAGTCAATAAAAAAACTGCTGAAGCAAATGTGTACCATTTTGCTTATAAATTTTATTAAAATTTGGAAAAGGCAACTTTCGAAACCCCAGAATTTCAGTGAAAATGAGTAACAGCCTACTCTGTGTTTCCTGGCCCCCATTTGGGTGCTGGGAACAGGGAGCAGAACAACCTATCTAATTTATTGCCAGGAAAAAAAAAAAATAGCAAGAATAATACTGCCAGGGAGGGTTATGTGACTAATGAAACAGCAAATGAAAGTGAAATGCGCCGTTTTTAATAATAATTGTCACTCCTTAAGCTCAGAAAACGTAAACTCTCGCGTGGCCCCCTGAATCCTTTCTCTGCAGCCCCCCCCCCCGCCCACCTTCTCTGGATTCCATGGAGGGCTAGAAGGTCTTCAGAAAGTATTTTGAACTTTAAGAGGAAGGAACACAATCACAGAGCCAAACTTCAGTGGCTGTGTTAAATAAAGAATCTGTGCGTGTGTAAAAAGTGTGCACAGCAGGCCAGAGAGACGACTCAGCAGTTAAGAGCAGGGCTGTTTTTCCAGGCTTGCTTCCCAGTTCCCACATGGTGGCTCACAACTCTAACTCCAGTCCTAGGGGGTCCTATGACATTGCCTTGACTCCCTGAGAACAGGGTAGGAAAGTCGTACTTAAACAGTCATGCAGGCAAAACACCCAAAGACAAAATGGAAACTAATTTTTAAATTAAAAAATGTACACATGTGAGAGAGACATAAACATCAGTAAGATACAAACCTGCCCACCCTCGGGTGGGTTTAATAAAGGCCCAGAGAGCCATCTAAGGCTAGGAGGGAGGGGAAGAGTAAGCAAGAACCCTGTATATACACAGCATTAGCACTCTGGCACATGCTAGTAGCCCGTACTGTCGATTTATAAATACCATGTGCGTTTTTGGGTTACATAGGGTCCTATTGGCTTGTTTGCAAACAGTCTCATCTTTGATTTGAGATGTGGTCCCTTGACATGTCACAGGGCTTAAAAAGGCGCTTACTTTCCTTGGGAAATGGCAATCTGATGGAATCTTTCTGATTGAACTATGCATGAATTCTCAGCATGACTTGGGACTTCCAGATTGGGAGACTGGCATGCATTTGTATAGATGGGCCGCGTGAGTTCAGTGCCTGGGAAATACTAAAGTGTGAGCAGCAGCAAGCATGCTTCCTATGCTCAAATATTATTTTCACCAGTGAAACACATAGTATGTAAAACTACCTTCTTTCACAGACCAGGAGATCCACCGTCTACAGTTTTCTCGTTTGCATACCAAATATGAAACTGGCTTTACTGGAACATGGACTATTGATCTCACACACACAGGAGCAGGTATGCATACCAGACACTATAAGGAGCTGAGAAAAAACCCTAAGTGGTCATAATTCATACACTTCTTAAACAGTAACCACTACTTCTACAAAAAAAAAAAAAAAAGTCTCGTCTTGTTGCACTCACCAAACAAAGCACTTTGATGGGTAAGGTTCCCAAGCCATTGATCGTTGTGATCTTGTTGCCAGCCAGGCTCAGGTGGGTCAGGCAGATGCAATTCTCTATCCCATTGATTTCTCCTATCTCATTGTCTGTATATGACAACTATGTTTAAGGAAAATGTTATTCAAAGTTTTTAAAAAGATTAAACACACACACATACACACACACCAAAAAAAAAAAAATTAAGGTATAAAACAAAATCTATCACTAGAAACATCAGACAAGAGTTTAAATAAAAGAATATTATATGCCCCATATTGGAAGAGCCCTAAACCTTATATGTTTTTCATACAGGATAAAACACCACTTGTATAAAACTTTTAAGGCATAGCATCTGTGTCCACACGTGACTCCCAGGCAGGCGGTACTTCTCTGGGATAGTTAATGATCTCCATGGGCAACTCCCCTCACACAGCAATCTGGGAGGCAGGGTCACCCTCCAGAGGCATGTGAAAGGGGCTTTATCACCTTGGAGATGTCTCAACAGCAAATGGGTGGCTTGGAGACCAACAACTTCTCATGGGTGATCAGCCCTTTCTTCCCATGTGTATTGGCTTCTCTTTTTCCCATGCAAATACAGGAAGCTAGAAGCCTGCTCTAATATCACCATCTGCTGTTTCTGTTCTCACCAATCACATTTTTAAAATTTGTCTTGTGTTCCAGGCTTGCAGTCGGTCCAAACAGCAATTCCAAAGCCGAGTGTTCAGCTGAGCCATCTCTGTCCTCAAACCGCCCAACTAGTTCCCAAGACCCAGCGTTGATGCTTTAAACGTGTCTTTGGGTGTCCCTTGGAGTCACTCAGTTGCCTACTCACCTCACTTTTACCATCAGTGGGTTCCTTTAATAACCATTACTTCCTGCCCTCAAGTCCCTTCCATGCTAAATTCAGGTTAATTGTTTTGAAAAGTTGATTGGCTGTCCTCTCTAATTTAAAAAAAAAAAAAAAAAAAAATCTCATAGAGGGGGCTGAAGCGGTGGCTTACGGGTTAAGAGTGTGTATTGCTTTTGCAGATGACCTGAGTCTGGATGCCAGCAACCATATCAAACAGTTCACAGTCATCTGTAACGCCAATCCCAGGAAATGTGACGCGCCCTCCAGGCCTTCAGTGGGATCTGTACTCATGTACACACACACACACACACACACACACACACACACACACACACACACACGCACGCACGAATATATACACACACATAAGTAAATTTTTAAGATGTTTTAATAGGATAAACGCAAAAGCCCTACCTGGCTTACACAACCCTTCACTATCAGATTTTGCATTTGTAACATGGGGATAACACCAAATTAGCGTGAGGCTAGTCATAGGGAAAAAGAAATAAAAATTGGGTGTGATCCTGGAGCAATAATGGCACGAGGATAATGGGAGTAATCAATTGTGTCTGTATTTGAGGTGCACTTCCCAGGACAGAATTCACACCTGGTACTGCACATTTGATCGAAAACCCGGGGCTGGGGAGACTATGGGCTCCAGGGGGAACTTAACTACTGTTGTTTGGCTACATTGACATGGAACCAAACTTCCTTCAAAATATTTACATGTATGCCCCAAAACGAATGCAAATGTCATCTCAGTAAGAGAAGCTCCTCTTTGTCGTGACTGATGGTGAACAGAGACTCGGCTGCCCAGGTGCTGAAAGGGAGTGATGGTTGAATGCACAGCCCTCAAAAGGACATTTACACTGCCCCTCTAGTGCTGAGTAAGTGCAGAAGGGTTGGAGAAAGTGAGAGTTGGAAGACGGGGGAAGGGCTGCAGGGGTAGACACAGCCATTATAATCACACCTTACAATGCACTAGACTGCGCAAGGCTAGCCTTGTCAACAGTCAAGATGAAGAATGAGCTCATTGAGACCTACTCTTCTCTCTTAGACTACTGGCTACTGATACATTCGGGGGGCGGCCACTGTTTTCAGTGAACTGTGTACTCACTGGTGAGCCACTAGTTTTAAACCCATAACTGCACAGACAGTCCTTCTTAAACCAGGTGAGTCACAAACAAAAAGACGTGGATGTCAGAAAGGGACTTGCAGGGAAGGGAGAGTACTGGGAGGAGACGAACGGAAACGAGAGAGGGTGGGGGCAATAGCCAGGATGCATTACATACATGCATAAAATAGTTCAAGAACAAGTTTGTTTTAAAAAGGGGTCTGAATGAGCTATTCTTCACGACTATAAGGCTCTCATATCATCACTATAATATAATATAATCACATGGAGCCAAGGAATCATATCTACTCTCTTAGCATGGAAACAGATGACTCAAGGCTGGGATTGAATCCAAAAGAGCTGGACTAGGGAGAGAGATAAATAAGAAAACCAGACAACGGTACATTACCAAATGTAGCAGAAATTTCTAGGTTTCTCTTACTGATTCCAGATTCCACCCGTGGGCAGAAACACAGTTTTATGGTGGTCAGTTTCCCATTTCAAATCTCCTATGAGTAAAGTCTCTGCCAAAACAACCATACAAACAGATACTTACTCACAAACACTGTCTTTCAGATCCCATTTCCTCTAGGCTGGCTAAACAATGGTCTTGGAAATAGACAAAGGCCAGCTCTTTGTACATATGGGCTATCATGAAAGATGAACATGAAATATGGGAAACAAGAGATTAAATTATCTCACACAGCCGTGTATGAACTATCTCTGTGGCAAGCAATCTTTGGCAACAAAGATTAAGCCATGAAAACTTCAAATAGCCATCTGTTCAGTGTCAGAGAGAACAAAGCGTTTAAGTCCTGCTTCAGGAACAATTGTGTCCTGGACACTATTCCAACCACGAAGAAGATGCTCCGAAATGAACGGATGCAGTTGGCAGCTGATGGAAGCAGTCGCCAGTCCTAACAGTGACAGTGACAAACAGGGATTGGGAGCTTGTTTCTGAGACCCCAGAGGCTGCCTCAATTCCCCTGGTGCCTCCAGCTTCCTCTCTACCTGTCACCACTATGCATCAAGCTTTCTGAAATGAGGACTCGGAGGAGAGAAAGGAGGAGAAACGCAACGCAGTGCCTCTCACTGTAACCACAGCCCGGGATCCAGCAGACCCCGCTGTGGTTGCTCGAGGTGGCATGTAAAGAATAAGGAGTCCAGTTAGCATCCTTGTTCAGAATGCTGCTTACTCCCTACCATCTCCTCCCACCTCCCAAGTCTCATTCCCCTTAACATTGAAGGACTTTCAGGCACCATAAGTTACTTGGGCTCACAAGTAAAGGATACGCCGGCCCGGCATCCGCACAGATCCCATGCCCTTTCATTGAGCCAATCAACCACATGATGAAAACACTTGATGCAACAAAAGCATTCAACTGCATGGAAGTCATATAGACTTTTCCCTTGTCGTTACTCCCTAACAACACAGCATGATAACATCTGGCACAGCATCTACCTCATTATATACAAGAGATTTGAGCATCCATTGCTTGGGCATCTGAGGAGTACTGGAATGCACTTCCCAGGAACGACCACAGTCTGTACATCACCGTGCTTCTCCCAACAGTCACATTATACGTCACTGCTGGTGCTGGTTATAATCAGCACACATGACTGGGCCGTGAGCAGCTCGAGGTCCCATCTAGCCACACTTGCCAGACAGATGCCTTCATCTCTCTAATCTCCTTCTAATCTCCTTCTGTGAAGATTCTTCATGGAGTGCTTCTTGCCCTTCCTCCTAACATTATTATTTCACGTTCTTTCTGAGGTCTTGGGAGTTTCTGATAAGAAGAGGTACAATCTGATAAATCACTAAACTATTATGATGAATTAGCTTCCTGGATTAATCCTCTTAGGTGCATTATAATATTAAAAGAGAGCTATCAGGAGAAAGGCTCTGAGAACTCAAAATCTGCACGCTGCTTTCCGGCTCTGAAGTTTTACCATTTTTGTGAATAAATCATTTACAGTGGAATTTTAGATTGTTATGGAAACCAAGTGAAGGAACCCTGTGGCACTTAAGCATAACTTTACGGCTGGGGCCTGGGGAAGCCAACGATATATTTTTACATTCCAGCGATGCTGTCAGCAGGTCATAAACGCTTGGCATGAATTATTCACTAGTTCAGCATTTGCTCTTATTCATTTGTCTACAATCATAAAATATGGTTTGGGTGTACAGAAAACAGTCACTGAGAAGTAAGGCCGATATCCGCCAGGCCTCTCTCAGTGGACAGTCACAGCGATGGTTTTAGTCACAACCAATCCTGAGAGAGCTCTACCACCTTAAAAAGTGGTGTCTGCCACAGGAGTGAGTCTCAAGAAGGAATGAAACACGCATATGGCTTAAGCGGCAGTGTTATTAAAAGTAGTAATCGCTAGGTGGACAGCTGAGTGGGCATACCAAATTCACCAGGAGCTCCACCTAGGAGCTGACCTTCCCTGGATCTCCGGTTTCTTTACCATAAAATACATAATTAACACTGGATGGCCTCTAAAACACTGTCTAAGATTTTAAATTCTATGAATCATGTTTTTAATTTATTAACTACCCATCAACACTTGAAAGGTAAAGAATAAACTACATCTTTACTTAATAATAAATAAATCAATTTAAACTTGACTAAGTTTCTCACCTCCTAATTTAGGATGATTATCAATTAAGTATCAATTACCTACACAGGAAAGGATGAAATAATCTAATATGACAAACTAAAAATAATTGATACCATATAGTTAACAATATAGTTAAAGATATTAATATAATCTACTATAATCATTTTATATTACAAGCATAATTGATTTATTTTCAAATTACTCAAATAAGAGTTTCTACAGTTTGGGCCTGCAGAGATGGTTTAGTGGCTAAAAATATGTACTGCTCTTGCAGAGGACCTGAGTTTGGTTTCCAGCACCCACATTAGACAGCTCACAACTTCCTGTAACTCCAGTTCTGGGGGTTACAACACCTGCTCTTCTGGCCTCTGTGGACACTGCACACATGAGGTGAACATACAGAGAAGCAAGCATGTATGGACACACATGCATTCACACATACACATAAATAAAAGTAAATGAAAGGAATTTCAGTTTTTAATTCTTCGAACAAACTATCAAGCTTATATTTTCTTTTTGACATCTATGGGAGCTAGGAATTTGGCTTTATTGTAGCGCCTATTATGTATGAGACTCTGAGCTTCAGTTACACACACACACACCTCCTGTTCAATCTTTGTGTCTGCTTCTTAAAAATACTATGCTGGGTTGTCCCTTTCCCCTTTGTACCTAGGTTATGTTTATTTTTATTAAAGTTCATCTCTGGGATCAAGAGATGGTTCATTGGTTAAAACTGTTCTTGCAGAGGACCCAGGTTCAATTCCCAGCACTCACATGAAGGCTTACAAACATCTATTCTCTAGTTCCAGGGGACCTGATGTCCTCTTCTGACCTCCCCAAGCACCAGGCATGCATGAAGTGCACATACATACATACATATAAGCAGAACATTCACAAACATAAAATAAAGCCTAAAAACCTTAATATTCATCTCTATTGCAACCATCTTCATGCCTATGTCATTGGCTGTTACCTGATAATAAAATAATTTATTTACTCCTGCTCTTATTGATGAGCAATTGGTGTGTTTCCAATTTTGTCATTATAGCCAACACTGCAATAAACGCTTCTCTGCGGCCTTTGGGTACATGTGATTAACTGCAGAAGTCAGAAGTGTCAGGAGAGGCCATGGTGAGTGCAGACACTCACCCTTATGGGAGAACTCAAAGCTGTCTTCTCAAAGCGGTTGAGCCAATGTCATAAGCACAGACAAGTTCCAAAGAGATCGTCTTGTTATGGGTGCTTCCCAGCAGCTGGCGTTTTTTAGATTACTGTGCTTAAAATACTTTTGTAGAGCACATACTCAGAGAGAACTCTTTCTTGCTAGTCTTCTTAGTTGTATTGTGAAAGAGTACAGAATTTGGGAGCTGGAAAGATGCCTAAAGGCACCTACCTAGCACCAAACGAGATGGTCTGAGTTGGAACCCTGGGACCCACATGGTAGAAAGAGAAAACTAACTTCCAAAAGTTGTCCTCGGACCTCCATGTGGACACTGTCCTGTGTGCACCCACAAACATGTATGCATACAGGATAAATTATAAATGTAATAAAAAATTTTAAAGAGTGTTGGATTTCATTACATTTTATATATCACTTCAGTTTCTTTAGGGGGAAAAAAGACTTATTTTCCTGAAATTGTTAGTGTTAATTCTATCTGTAATGTTTCTAATATTAAACTATTTATAATTTTACTTCACGAATAGCTCAAGAAGAGCAGTTTGTTTTGGCTATTTGTCTCTGTAGTTTTTCAAACATAGGTAAAGATGCTATAATATACTCTATATGCCCACATTCTGAATTTCCATTAATCTTGATATAATAATTACTTTCTTTATATGTCAGTAATAAGACTTAATTATTACAGCTAATGTGCACATTAAATGAAGAAAACCTAATTCCTTTCTTTATGATATCACTGCATTTTTGACATTCACAAAGTTCTAATATTTTACTTTTGTACATGGAAAGCTAAATTTATTCTTAAAAAATTAAAACCCTCATGATAGAAATGCTTTTAAAAATGAATCCATTATTTTGAGTCTACAATATGTGAGAGCTGCTTTCTTTGACAGTCTGGGCTGCACAGTGAGGTAGCTTTCCACAGGAACGTTCTCCATACCCAGCTCCTCTGTTCTCTGGGTACCGTGAGGCGCAGGCAGGGCCTCTGCATGCTGACCCCCTGACAGGCAGGGTTTTAGGGTATAGCCAGCTTCTTAGCTTTAACATGCACTCAAATTGTCCAGATATGTGGTTCAGATAGATCCTTCTGGAAGTACTCTTCAACGAGCCAGAGATGAGTGGATTTCCAAGCCAGGTGGCTTCTGAGTTCTCTCTCTCTCCTCTGTCTCTCTGTCTCTCTGTCTGTCTGTCTGTCTGTCTGTCTGTCTGTCTGTCTCTCTCTCTCTCTCTCTCTCTCTCTCTCTATCTATCTCTGTGTGTGTGTGTGTGTGTGTGTGTGTGTGTGTGTTTCTATCTGTCTCTCAACATTCATTACACACCATGGTCAAGCACGAAGCCAAGGCGCTATAGGAAGGTGCGTTTCTGCATGCCTCTGATTTGCCATAAAAACATTTCGTCTAACTCGTTATCCGATGTCTCTATTGGTGAGCACTGTCTAACAGGTCACTCACTGGTCATTTTCATGGGTGAGTTTTAAAGGAAGTGGGATGCGTTCTAGCATCCCACATGAGCACAGTCCTTCCTCTGCAAAGCCCATCTTCAGGGTCACCGCCTCTGCAATCTCAGACTTATTACCAACAAGCTGCTGCCTCATCCCTGGAATGAGACACTCCGGGGCAATCAACTCATGCTCCGTTCTGCCCCCCAAATTCTCAAGAGACGGAGAAGGATGCTTGCTGAGCAACAGAAGGCCAGGCTCTCTTATTGCCCAGAGAACACCAGTCTCTGGTGTAAAAAAGAGATTCAAGCTCATTAGATGCACAGATCTTCAGTTAACCTTTTAGATTCCACGAGTTGAAGTCTGCATTCTGTCTGCATGGGAACACAGTTCACTCAATGCGTACATGCATGTTCCCGAAAGCACATCCAAAACCGGGCTTCTCTTCTGTTTTTAGTTAAATGCATTTTAGCTGGGGATAGAGGTCTGTGGTAGAACACTTCTCAAGCATGGGTGAGATCCCAGGTTTGATCCCCCAACAAAAGAAATAACTAACATACTAGAATGCCTTGCATTCTAGGAAGCAGAAGGAACTCCTCAATAAAATAACTACGAGTTTTCCTCATGACAAATCTAGATTTTTCAGAATCTGAGTTTGTATAAAATAAGACAAAAGTTTAAGTAAATTTTAAGATGCATGCTCATTTAACAGAACTTCCCTAGTTCTAGAATCAAGAACCAACTTGACATTCATGTCAAAGATCATCCTTCTCTGTGGTGGTGAGAAGCCCATGGCAAGCTTTGGCTATAGAATTGGTCCTTGGTAAACAAACATCCTTCCTCATTTTATGACTACTGATTTTTTTTTTTTTTTTTTTTTTTTTTTTTTTTTTGGTTTATCCAGATAGGGTTTCTCTGTATTGCTTTGGAGCCTGTCCTGGAACTAGCTCTGTAGACCAGGCTGGCCTTGAACTCACAGAGATCCACTTGCCTCTGTCTCTGCCTCCCGAGTGCTGGGACTAAAGGCGTGTGCCACCCACGCCCATCTGACTGTTGATTCTTATTCAGTTACATGAGCCACACACGTCAGTGATATCACTTATCTGATGCCACTTTGTGTAGTCTGCAACACCCTCTCCAAAGGGTCACGTCGCCACGGCCTCCCCTTCACACATTCAAAGGATACTGTCCAAAATCAGTTGAGTGAGAGTGTGGTATGCCGACAGGTCACCCATTTCAGAAATTTGGTTGTTGGAAAAATCCACCTTCTGGTGATAAAAAGAGAACAGTATGTTACAAGTTCACTAGTGTTTAATGGCAAAAGGAAAAAAAAGTGTGTTTCTGGATGTAGACTTACAATTGCTTGCTGTAGATGCATTACAGCCAAACCAGGCATCTCTCTTTGCCTTTTCTAACCAGGACACTATTGTCAACCCCTTGAGAGAGAACCAAGAAGTCTTCTCTGTGGCCCAAAAAGATGCAGCTTTCCTTCCCATTCCGTCCCCTTTCCTCCAGGGACTCCTGCACTATATGGCCCTGGCTGGCCTGAACTTCTTGTAGATCAGACTGGCTTCAAACCTGCAGAGATCAGCCTGCCTCTGCCTCTCGAGTGCTGGGATTAAAGGTGTGCCACCACGCCCCACCTACTCTTGAATTTTCAGCTCGTATTTTAAATTTCCTTGATTGCCCTCCCAGATTTACTTCCCTAACACCCACATCACCGTGTTTCCCATTTTCCCTAATATCCAGTGGAGCATATCCACTTCACTTACGTGCATATCCCATTTTTCTGTTCCACAAACAGTCTCACACGCTGCCCCTAACTGCCAGAACAGTCCTTATTCATCCCTCAGGCTTCAATTGTATGTCTTAGAGTGGGGCTTTCTATTGCTGTGGAGAGACACCAGGACCACTGCAGCTCTTACACCCTCTTAATTGAGGGTGGCTGCCTCACAGTTCCAGAGGTTCAGTCCACTGCCATCATGATGGGGAGCCTGGCGGCGTGCAGGCAGACGTGGTGCCGGGGCTCAGAGTGCTGCATCTCGCAGGCACAGGAAGTCGACTGAGACATTAAGCAGTATCCTGAGCATAGGAAACTTCAGAGCCCGCCCCTACAGTGACACACTTCCTCCAACAAGGCCACACCTCCTAACAGTGCCATTCCCTGTGAGATTATGGGGGCCAAGTACATCCAAACTACCATCATATTCTTTCTCAAATTTGACTCATTTAGATAGGCTTTTCCAGCAACATCTATTGACCCTAGTCTAGAAGGAGACTAAAACCAGACTGACTAATTAATAAAGAGCTTTGCTTAATTCATCTACTAGGAAAACAAAAAAAAAAAATCTTTTTTGAAAGAGGCAAGAAAACTGGAGATTTTTAAAGCTCTATATTCAGCACTAGAGGAGGAGGCTGTAATCTCACTCCAGAAGGCTGTCCAGAAGACCCTGAATACACACAGTCCCTCTTGTGCCCTTTAAAACAGTGACGGCACTCGTCAAACTCATCAAGACAATGCTTTCCTACAGCAAATCCTAGAAAACAGTGTAAAGCAAGAGGAAACGACTGGTCAAGTCTGTTACGGTGTCTGCGTGGTCTGTGAGACACAAGCTGAAAACCCCTGGGAAGGAACGGCGCAAGCCACCTTGAGCAGCAGCAATGGCTACATGAAGCCCTGTTTCAGTGACACAGATCTCAACAGAAACTTAGGTCTACGTGTGTAGTGAATATGTAAAACACATGGTATGAAAACAGCCCAACACAGCATGGTGAACGCAATTTAACATTTACCTTTTTGCTTTTATATAACAATGATGGGCTAAAAATGAACTCATCGCAAGGTCTTCTGTTTTTGTTAAATATTTGTGTCCCACTGAAGGAAGCTTATCCCATGTTCTGGGGCAATGGTTCTCAAATGTATTAAAGATCGTAGGGCTATCTAGGAGCCCTTTAACAAGTCCAAAGTCCAGGACTTCCCTTGATCCACTTAACTCAGAATCTCTGGCAATGGGGCCTAGGCCATAGTAAGTCTCTAAGTTTCCCTAAGTGATTCCAGAGATGGGGTCTAGGTGCCAGCACTCTTGGGGGCTCGCAAAGCACAGCTCCCATAGCCACCAGAGGGCACGCCTCCTGCCAAACTGCCAGCTCAGAATCTCATTTCTCCAAGAACCACAGGTAGCCTGGGCACCCCTGGGAGCAGGAGAAATGTCACTCGCATATCAACCTGCTCCGCGATGCACAAGTGTCTCGTTCCTGCTTTCAAAGAGCATGCTTAAAACAAGTGCAGGATGTGAGCATGGAGGCGTAGGATGGGGCAGGAAGTGAGCGTGGAGGCGTAGGATGGGGCAGGAAGTGGGCGTGGAGGTGTAGGTTGCTGGGCGGGTGTTCGCCACTGTTAACCTCTCTTAGAAGTCATGTTCCTGTCAACCATAAGATCTTTAAATTCTCATTTTAAGCATTCCTTCTGGGAGTTGTTTTCCTATAAAGAAGATGTCGGGGACAGGACAATCTGATCCCCTAACTGGCGGGTGTTAGACTCTCCCTTGACACCCTGACCACCTCCAGCAAAATAAATGTTAAGCATCTGGCCAGCCATCCCACCCTTAGGTCAGCACCGGCCACTTTAAGCGTCCCATAGAGGCCTTGCGAAGACTTCCTGATAGTCACAACTGGATGCTCTAGTTCCTGAAGGCGCAGCCTCTGCCAGGGCTGTTTTGTTTTGTTTTGTTTTGTCTTTGCTCACAAAGTCTCTGTGAACTCTAGATGGTTTGCAACCGTCCAGGAAGGTACGTGGGGGCCCACTTCCCTGACGACCCTGATGACCTGCCTGATGGGAAAATAGAAAGGCTGTTTGTTGGTGCAAACACACACCTTCACGTATGTGCAAGGTGAGCTGGGACTGGTCCAGCACCCCTTCTCTGGTTATGGAAGCAGGAGGTTCCGCTTCCTGGCTGTAAGCTGCCTGAGAGACCATTTCCTGCCATTGTTTTTAAGGGCAGCAGGCCCCACAAAAGGCTTCTCTGGGGCCACTTTTGGCTTCGGCTCCTGTAGTAGTGTGGGGAGAGCTGGTGACATGAAGTAAAGCAAGGAGCAGCGCTCCCGTGGCAATGGAAGCATCAAAGGGGCAGTGGCTACAGCAGCTGTGCAGCCAACGAGCCAAGTTACAAGAGGCGGCAAGGCGTCTGGCTCCTCCATCGCTGAAGAGGCAGCTGAGAGGTGGGAGAGGATGACAAGAGCAGGGGCAGAGTGACAGAGAAACTAGAGAAGACAGCATGCTGAGCGCGGCCCACTGTCACTGAAGAGCTCCGCAGAGCTGCTGAGCCTGTAGGGCCCAGAGTCAGATACTGAAGGCCCTGGAACTCTAGCACTAGTCACCGTCAGAGGCCGGAAGGGATCCTGCTACTCGGACCTTACTGGACACTGCTAAGCTATCGCCAAAGGCTGTGAAGGTCCAACTTCCCAAGCTACACAAGAGCCTACGCAAGCGTCAGATACACAAGGCTCCCAGGAGCTCAACAGCAGAGGGTGCAACCTGCAGGCTGCTGGCTAACAAAAGCTACCAGACACCAGCACTGAACCTGCATCGCTGACCCACAGTTACTATCTGGGCAGAGCCAGCTCACTAATAATAAAAGTCTTATTTCCTTAAAAAGCAAAGGTTGGGTAAGGAAGGGGACAATGTTTGCCCCGAGGAAATGTGTTATCGCTGTTTCAGATAGAAGTGTACTACTGTAACTAAAGAGACGCAATGGCCACTGAAATAAAATATGGCCAAGAGGACAGAAGGAAGCAGGTAAATGTGCTTTGAATGTGAGGTTTCAGCAAAGATCTCGCAAGGGCTGTACGGTGGTGGCACATCTCAGTGACACACCTGTCTGCATTTCAATTTAGACACCCGCACTGTAAGTTCTACACCTTGTCCCCTCTGACTTCTCTTCATTAATTCTCTCTTGCTTGTATAAGCACCATGGCAACCGCTTACCGTGTGTGATTAGTGTATTGATAAGTATACCTGGAGATTTTGGGGTGGCTTGAAGTTGAAAAAGGTAGTCAGCTTGTTCTGGGAAGCATTTAGTTCTAGAAGATAAGGCATGTGGCTCACACAAGACAAATCTGGGGGCAGAAAAGATAAATCAACAAGCTACTAGAAAAAGTCATTAAGTACCTTACATCAGAACACGTATTTCTTTCTAGGCAGGATCACACTGCACAGCCCTGGTTGGCCTGGAACTCACTTTGTAGACCAGGCCAGCCTAGAACTTACAGAGATTCACCTGTGGCTGCCTCCCGAGTGCTGGGATTAAAGGTGCTACCACACCCCACCCATGTCAGAATAATTTTTAAGTGTGCCCAATTTTTAAGCAAGCCCATCTCAAATGTTTCAGCTGGGTCAAATTAATACAAATTAGTGATATGTGAACTATTTTAAAGGTGTAGGACGAGGAAATGAGGATGTAGGAGGAGATGAGGGAGCTGAGGGGTACAAGAACCACAAAACACACTTCGTTCTTATTCGTCATAACAGTACCTGACACATTACAAGCTGACTTAAACAGTCATTTTAAAAATGTGTAAAATTCTCTATGAGCCAATAATCTCTCTTTCTTCCCCAGGGCTTAGCCACTTCTCCCAGCTCCGGTATTTCTGGGATGTCCAAGTAACCAATGGCTGGGGACTCCTGCACTCATCTCCCCACAATCTGCTCACCCCTAAGGGCTTCAAACATCACCAGCCTTACAGGGAAGGATGCGAAGCTAAAGGATGCTCCTAATTGGCTCCTAATAACTGAATTGGGTCTTTTCAGAAGACTGGAAATACCACCCTCTGTTGCTAATTCAATTTCGTTTTAGGTGGACTTAATCCTAAATCCCGTTAATTATTTGAGGTGACTTAGATCTGTGACTTGTGCTTTGACTCTGGGTTGGCTTGAGAGTAACATCTGAGTTCTGCATTTTACCCCAAGCAGATAGCCCCAGACTTGGTGCTAAGTAAAACACTGTGCTAATGGAGGCCACGAATGGAGTCACACGTGAACTGGGATTGTGACGTAGCGTTCGCCACTGTCCACCTCTCTTGGCAGCAGACGCACACTGGGCAGGCACCAGAAAATGAAAGAATCCACGGTAGGGGTTCTGGCCTTGTTGGTGTGAGCAATTCATTTCACCACCTGCAGTGGTTTGGTGGTAGCACTCCTTGCTCTCTCGTTCTGGGGGACACAGAGAACCAGGACAGCCATGCCGATGACAGGCAAGGCCAGGCCAGGCCAAGGGGCACAGGCAAATGCAGAGGGGGAGAGGGTGGCACACCAGCTGCGTCTTGGGCTGCACGGGCTGGCAGTGTGAGATGGTGTGTTTTTGTGATGCTTTGAATGAGGGATAGACCCTGCGGGCTTGGTCCCCAGCTGGTGGAGATGCTTGGGCAGGCTTGAGAGGTATGTCTTGCTGTATGAAGTGTGTCACTGGGGGCGGGCTCTGGGGTTTGGAAACCCACACACTGCTCCCCGTTCATTCTCAGCTTCCAGCTCCAGCCACCCTGCCTGCTGCCATGCTGTTACCTCTACGCAGTCTAACCCTCGGGAACTACAAACCCAAATACGCTCTTTCTTCTATATTGCCTTGGTCATAGACGTCTATCACAGAAACAGAAGAGTAATTAGCATGCCAGATCAACGCTCTCTGAAGCCAGATAATGCCCACCAACTTCTGCTCCAGGTCTCTGTGTTACACAGTATCTTAGCTGTGAACATCTCTCAGAGAGGTGGTGCATTGGGATGGTAACATTTTTGGTAAAAAAAAAAAAAAAAAAAAAAAAAAATCCATGGGTCAATCAAGGACAAAACCTATGGGGGCATCGAATGCTTAGCAGTCTATACCTATCAGCCCTGCATCTGCCTGTTCTGTACTCAGGTACATGGCTGCTAGAAGTGGTCTACATAGCTAACGTTTTTTTAAAAATCACTGTGACAGAGACAGTCCCTTGGTTGCTAACTTACATGTCGGTCCTCCTTGGTGTAGTAACCTCTTAGTCCACCAGATGGCAAAAGCACCTTATGTCTACACCAAAGGTTCTGGACCAGCAGCATCAGCTTACTGCAAATGTAAATTCTCAGCCTTTACCCCGGTTCTACTTAGTCAGAACCTCTGAGGGTGTGATTCAGCAGTCTGTACGGGCCCCCAACTACACACAGTGGTTCTGTTGAAAGTTTAAATGTGGCTAACTCGGGATACCCTTAAGGCTGACATCCTCCCCAAAGAAAAACATACTGCCATACCAACACACAGCAGGCTCTGACTCCTGATGAATTTGTCATGGAGGACCCAGGAGGAGTGGTCTGTGTAGAGAGGGCGCTGTGCACAGAGAGTACCTTGAGTGGCAGGCTACGAAGCTAAGTCTTTGCTTGCTGTTGGCACTGAGCATCGTCAGAGCCTCCCATGAGGCTGCACTTTCTTATTCAGTAAGAGTGAACAATCAATCTCAGAGCTGTGAGGTGGGCAGAACACAATCAACCTTGTAGGTGTGGGGTGGGCCGAGCATTCCTGCCAGTGCCGGCTTAAATGCCTTCCTGGTGGCTGGGTCATCACATGATCTGAGGTTTGCTTTAAAGTAACTTGGAGGAAGAGGGTCAGGGCAGGGGTGCAGATAGAACAAGACTGGCCCCCTGCCTATTACTGCTGAGCCTCAGTATTCATTCCGGAATTTTCTCTGCTCATGTTTGCAATTTTCTAAAATAGGTTTATAAAAAAAATAGGAAAAACAATGTAACCGGCTCTCCATCAGTGGTATTTGGGTAAGATACAGTGCTTGCCTGCACTCAAGGAATGAATTTTAATTATTAGAGTCAGATGAGGGGAATTGGAAAATGAAATTGAGAGACTATTATCAGTAGAATTAAGGTCTCCTTGAAGGCAGGTAAAAGAAGCAAGCAGAAAGACACTCAGTGGAGAAAGAAGGCCAGAGATAAGTATTTACATCAAATAAGATCAGAAAATCCAAAACAAGGACCAGTCTTTAAAGAAAATATGATGATGATGATTGCAGGACATGTTCTTTAAGTGTGAAGAAGGAAGGTGTCATGACAAATGCAAATAATTTCAGATGGTGTGGTCAAAAGGGTCAGCTAAATACACGGCGATGGGGAGCAGGGTTGACACCTGAAGTCTTGGTACTTAAACAATAATAGAAGGAGCTAGCCAGGATGAAAATGTTAGTGTAAAAGCAACATAAAATGTCCATGAGAGGGTGGGGGAAAGCCGGTTCTTCTGAGCTAAATAACTAGCTGAAGAAAAGGGTGTGAGTATCAAAGGGATAACAACCCCTGTGGGGCTCCCTGGGTGCACCCCAACTGTGTCAGAACACTGAAGATCAACCTGTCTTCTCGTCATTTGTGGATCATTGTCCCCGCCCCCCCCCACACTCTTGTTCTGTCTCTCTCTCCACAGAAAGCAGTAAGTCAATATGTAAATTGATCTACAAATCACTTATATCAAGCTCAGTATTATTAAACCACATTAAATTCTGTAGCCTGTACATTTTTGCACTATTTCAGTGATCAATCCACTCGGCTGACAATCACGTACCTTCGATTTTGTTTGCAGAAAGATTCAACTTCTGTAGGTGAACATAGCCACACAGAATGCTGATGTCGACTAAATCACAGTGCTGAGAGGGAGAAAAGGGGAAGGGCTTTAATATGGCATTTACAGTGTTGCCTTCCTGCAAATTCTAGAAACGACGCTGATGGAAAGAAAGCCAGAGTTTCTTCCCAAAGTGTAAAAGCAAGAGAATAAAATCTAAGGCCTGCTACTAATGGGATCTCAAAATGGGCTATAGAGCCACCACAATAAGAAGGGGGAGGAGGAGGAGCAGGAGGAGGAGAAAAAGGAGGAGGAGGGGAGGAGGAGAAGGAGCAGGAGAAGAAGAAGGAGAAGGAGGAGGAGACAAAGAAGAAGGTATTCCTTCAGAAGAAATCAGTTGGGCATGGTAGCACGTCATTTTAATCAAGGCAGAGGCAAGTGAATCTCCATGAGTCTGAAGCTGACCCTATATCAAAAAGAAGAAAAGAATTATTACCCTAAGAAATCAGTGTTAGCAGCAAGAACTCACCACATAAAAAGGTAAATGGCAGCAGCGTTCACGAGTAGGGCCGTCTAAAATAAAACAGCAATAAAGACCACGTTTTCCTCTAACCAAAGAAAAGCCAGGGCTGAGAGTTTAAACGAAGTTTCAGGAAGATGTCACAGGCCACCAGGAGATCGTTAACAACACAAGCTGCAAAGCTCTTTCACAGTGATCCCAACAGATCCACAGCTGCAGGGCAGACTGGGGAAAACAGAGAGATGTATGGCCAAACCTGAAGTCACAGAGCAGCTTGAGAGATGCAGTCTCCAACTCTGCTGAGGCTGTGTCCAGAATTCATGCCAGAAAATGGTACTCATGGGAGCTCAAGTGGAGTTAGGAGGGGATTTGATCCCATGGAATAAAGATTTCTACTAGTGGCAGTAAACACAGCCAAAGATGACTAATAAGAGTCATTTGCTAGCAAGTTCTCTTGTAGGGCAGTGATGTCTGTTTTACGTAGGCTGTTACATGAGACATATCGGCTCTGAGTGCCTACTGTGTGTGTGTATCATTGTGCTTGATGAGAAAGCAGGGGAGGGGCCGGGCTTTACTTTGCCTTTAAGAATTTAGGACTTTGGCAGGGGAGAAGATATATGCACAAGTAATTAGAGAAAGTCAAGTAAATAATAATAACCGCTATTATTATTATGTGTAGCATAAGTGAGATGGGGGGGAGGAGTCAGTGAACCAGAAAGTGTATTCAGTGAGACAGTTTATTGAGGCCAAGTAATTCAGCACATAACATCTCAACAGGAAGGAGGTCAGTGGCAAAATAAGTTAAACTCCATCCCTCCGGCTGAAATAAGATTTAAAGGATTGCTTTTTTGGCAGATCAACTTAAGGCACAGCACTACATCCATAAATGGACTATTGGTTGAAATGGATCTTCATGAGTCTGTACTGGCTGCTGGAATTACACCGTCTCAGTGTCTGACGCAATGCTGCGTGTACAGGGAACTCCACACGTCACACCTGAGCGCCTATGACATCCACCGAACGTTAGACTCTGCCAGTGATGGAAAAGCATGATGGCCTTGGTGTGCTGACCCCGCAGGACATACTATGAAGCCAGCACAGGTGGCCACATCTCAGTAGTCCTTGGGTATTTTACTAGTACAAATCCAAGACAGGACACCCTAGCAATGCATTAGCCCAGTCAGGAGTGAGCGATAGTAAAATTTCAATGTGCTTTTAAAATAAAAGTATGTGTAGAGTGCATATCTGTATGAGTGTGGGTACACATGTGTGTAAGCGGTGCACATGCATGTGTGTACATGAGCTGTGGAGGTGTCTTCTTCAATCGCCCTTCACCTCCTATACTGAAGCAGCCTCTCTCACAGAACTCGGTTCTTACTTGTTCATCTAGACAAGGCTGCCATGGCAGCATGCATGGGATTCGAACCCCAGCCTTCACACTTGCACAGCAAGCATCTGACCCACTGAGACAGCTCCCTAACCCCCCCATGTCTCCTTCCTTCCTTCCTCCTTCCTTCCTCCTCCTTCCCTTAATTCCTATCTTCCTTCCTTCTTTCTTCCTTCCTTCTTCCTTCCTTCCTTCTTCCTCCCTCCCTTCCTTCCTCCCTCCCTCCCTCCCTCTCTCCCTTCCTTCCTTCCTTCCTTCCTTTAATGGAAACAAAAGAGTTAAAATATTTTCCTAGGGCTATGAGCAACAGCAGAGAAGCTGAACTGTGGGTGGTCAGCTCTTACACCCCTCAAGGCCAAAGCTGAGCCAAGATTCTGTGCTACTTCAGGATGGAGATTGAAAACTTGAAGACTGAAGAATATCAGCAGATTCTTTTGTTCTAATGATAGGGTATCTTTATGAAAAGAAATATGCCCAAAGCTACTTATTTCTCGATGTAAGGAGAAAATTGGTATCAGAATACTTGGTACCCTGGGACTCAGAAAGTTAAGCAAAACTCTTAGGATGTTTTTGATTGGTCTTACAAATCCAAGTTCAACTTCCTGAAGAAAGCATTGATTACTATAATATAGACTACTTAGGATGAAAGAGGGTGCAAAGAGAATGGAAAACAAAGGAATGTGGGGAACTGATGCTCGGAAGGATGCGGCTCTCTGAAGTCTAACATTTATTTGTTCATCTCAAGTCACTAATCTCCATCAAACATGAGGCCCTGAGGTTTAGGGCCACTACGAGTCAAGAGTACCAAAGAAAATGAAAAGGTCTGTCCTTGTTGCCAGCCTGCAATGGCCCTGTCATACTCACTGATAAATTTAGGTTGAGGTAGACCTGCTCTGTCCCACGGCCTGACCATCCCAAATCGCTGAGTGCTTCGGCTACAGCCTCCTCTCTCAGGACCCCATCAAACTCCTCCTGCAAAAAGCAAATGGTGGACGAAGAACTCGCATTAGAAAGGCAGCCATCTACTTTGTCCTTTCCGGCTCCCAGAGAAAAGGCTGAACGGAAGACATCACATACTATACACAGTTAAGTAAATGCCCATCAAAGTCATGTCTTGCTGCCACTGAGTTTTCAGGGGGTCACTTGCATGTGGTATTCGATGCTGAGAGAACACAGTGGCCATAGGAACACCCGTTCTAGCAGCCCCATGTAAGAGCTCTGCTCTCAAACTGCCGATGCTTCTGACAGCCCTGGAGTAGGCACTCCCATCCCCATTTTACAGATGAAGTAACTAAGGCTTGGAGGTGACCTTGCTCAGAATGACATGACAGCATGTGACAGAGATGGAGTGAAAACTCAAGCTGTCTGCGCCCAAGGTGATTCTGCATTGGGCTGTTTGCCCACACCTCTAAGGATGGTTACATCAAATGAAGACAATAATGCCTCGAAAACTGGTATTCCTGCTGAACAAATCAAGTCCTCAGTTCGCTTTCTAGTATCTACTTTTGTCATATTCATCTAATCTACAAGATGATTTAACGAGTGGCAGTGGCTTCCATGAGGAAGCTTGCCCTTGGCCTACAGCCAATGGATGGGCATGGCACTTCCCCAGTAATGGCAGAGAGAATAGACCTCATAGCAGTCTATGTTGCATGGCCACCGCCTTGATCTGTATAATGGCCAACATGGACACTGACATCAGCATGATGGCAGAAAACACGCTCATCACGACAGCCACACTGATACATACCGTACTTAACCATGATGCTCATGTAAACTGCGATGGGAAAGCATCTGCTCTTTAGTTCTTTACTAACCCAGGAACCAAGAATGCTGTCTGGGTTGTTGGTCCTGAGGACATAACTATGAAGACTCACGTTGCTCTAAGAGTCTTTCTCCCCAGGGAATATGGCCCACATGGAGATAGTGAGTTTGAATCCCACCTCTGCCACGTGACTTGGGGGGGAGGTAAAGCTTTCTCCGAGCCTCATTCTTTTACCTTTAAACAGAAAGTATGTTTTTCTTTAAAGGCGGTCTAGACACACCATTCCTCCAAAGTAGGCTGCTTTGGGGATATTGATTGTTTTGAGCTGAAGGCACTTGGAAAAAAAAAAAAAAACACAGAAAATGCAAGGGGAGGCTTTCTCTGAACTGCTTTTATCTACAGAGAGGCAGATCCTTCAAAAGGAACTCGACTGTTATAAATCCCCTCCCCAGGAGTTTCATCAACTGGAGGAGATTGACCCTTACCACAGGAGTGAAGAGAGGCCGACACCACAGTGAGCGAGCTTTGTCACACACGCTCATAGCTCCCATCTATTCTAAGAGCTCTCGTATCTTTCCATAAAAGCATTCCCCCCCCAAAGTGGCCTACATTCCCTCTACCCTTCCCCTGTTAACATGATGTGTAAGCTCTCAAATCGCACATAAAAATGTTTCCAGGTCAGCAGGAGGCACTTGCCTCCAGCCCTGAGAACTTGGGTTTAGTCACCAGAACCCACATGGCAGAAGAAGACAGCAAATTCCAACTTGCTCTCTGATCTCCATATATGTGGCACACACATGAATAAATAGTTGTAATAGATTTTTTAAAACATGTATTTATTTTATGTGTAGCTTGTACATATGTATGTGCACCACATGCATCCAGTACCGAAGGAGAAGAGAAGAGGGTGTTGGAAGCTCTGGAACACAAGTTATGGGTGGTTTTGAGCCACCAATTGGGTGCTAGAAACCAAACCAGGGTCCTCTACATGAACAACAGTGCTCTATCTGCTGAATCGTTTCTGCAGGACCTGTAATAGTTTATCTGTCTACCTGCCTACCTACCTACCTATCTATCTACCTATCTATCTATCTATCTACCTACCTGTCTGCCTGTTTACTTATTTATTTTTAACTGATGGATGTTTATCTGCATGTATGTCTGTGTACCACATACATACCTGGTACCTGTGGAAGTCAACAAAGGTCTTTGGATGCCCTGGGACTAGAGTTACACATAGGGTTATGAACCACAATGTAGGTGCTAGAAATCAAACCCAGGTCCTCTGGGTGCTCTGAGCCATCTCTGCAGCCCCACTGGAATTCTAACTACTCAGTGCTAGTGAAATTGTGGTTATTGGAGGAAAATCTACAACCACCAATTTACTAACCCAGCATATCCCCTAACGACAATCTATAAACATCTGTCCTTACACTCACAGATAATGCAGTCTTTACCCCTCACCAAGGAAACTTCTGTTTGCAAAGATGGAGACCACTACAGAAAAATAATAAAATCTTCTTTTTAGTTTTGTTTTGGGGGGGGTATTTTTCCCCAAAAATGGTTTCTCTGTGTAGCTCTGGCTGTCCTGGAACTTACTTTGTAGAACAGGCTAGCCTCAAACTCAGAGATTCACCTGCCTCAGCCTCCCAAGTGCTGGGATTAAAGGCATGCACCACTATCACCCAGCCTGTAATAGTTTTTTTAAAAATCTTTTCCTATGATATCCCTAATGCATGCAATATTCAAAATCAATATACCTATACCCCTCATCTATGTTAGTCTGTCCATTGTTACTTTGTTTCATAGGTTCAGCTATGACAGCTAGAAGATTGGGAAGGTCATCATTTCTCTCCTATCCCTTCTTTCAATGTTTTAAGGAGAATGAAAAAAAAATATATATATATATATACATACATACATATATATGTATAATATGTATATATACATACACACATACACACATACACACATACACATACACACACACATATATATATATATATATATATATATATATATATCTTGGCACAGTGCCTGAAACACATCAATTGCTTTAATTCATGTATGATGTGCCAGTGTTCCATAGCTGTTACACTGCTCACAAGCAGGGAAGATATCCATGCTTGTACATAAAGTGCCGGTGTCCTATGTAAACCCCAGGAGGTAATTGGGTAGAGGCAAACCTGCCATCCTCCCTAACCCCCACCTAGAGCTCTGCAGGTCGTCTGACCTCACCCCAATCCTCCTTACATATTCTAGCAGGAAGGGCCTGTTTGTAACCATAACTATGGACATCAGGGTGGGCACAACTGCCAGCATTTTCTCAGATCCCCATGGCAACGCTCCACACAATAAGCCCCTCTTTAACCTACTTTGTATTCCCAAGCAGTCCCACTCTTCCTGCTCCCCTATAGAGATTTCTAGAACCCTACTATCCTCTTATCCAAATTCACTTGCTCAGCACAGAACCGCTTAAAATGCCATGTGTGTGTCCCTCTGCACAGAGCAGAGCCCTCTACAACCTAGCCCCATCTCAGCCGCCTTTTGTGCTCTTACCTGTAACTCCTGAGTGCAGCTATGTGACACTTTAGGTGCTAGCTGCTTGACTTACCCATGTCATTCTGAGAGCAGGGACTATGCATGTCTTCCTGCTTTCATCTTCTATTGTAACTGCTGCTATTATTTATTACATCTATAACTTCTAAGAATCTACTCTACCTACCAGATATTATTATGTTGAAAACTTTAGTCTCTTACTAAATTTAAAGTCATGGGTTTCTGTAGTATAGTGGTTATCACGTTTAACTAACATTCAGAAGGTCCCTGGTTCGAAACTGGGTGTAAACTAAATTTGAAGTCTATAACTATCCCAGTGAATAGGCGTGATTGCTCACCTTGAGTTACTGGCAAAGGGTGGTTTTCCTGTGCCAAATTTGGGGTCAAAGCATGCTTTTTATTAAGCAATCACTCCATAAATGTTTGTACAGTAAGGCTAAAATCACTTAATGAGTTACAGGTAGCAGTTAAAAATGTGAGTTACTATTATAGTATCAGGACTATATTTAAAAATTTATTAAATTTTTATTTGTATGTGTGTTTGTGCACATGCACACACAGCATAGCCCATGTCTGGAAGTCATAGGACAAATCTGGGCAGACAAGTCTCTTCTTCCATCAAGGTGTCAAAGGGCTTGAACTCAGATCATGAGGCTTGGCATCAAGTGTCTTTAACCTGCAAAGCCCTCCCTCCAGTCCTATGCTAAACATTTTACATATAGGACATCATTTAATTACCCTATGAGAAAAGGAAGACTACCAAACTGGTATTTTGAGTTTTAGACGAGCTAAGGAACTTTTTCAAAATCTTGCTACTAACAAGAGGCTAACCCAGGTCTCATCCACAAGTCTTTCATCCTAAAGGGAGTACTCCAAGCAGCTGGCCTCAACTGCTTCCCTTAAATTCATTCTGGAGTTTGAAGCTAGCTGCATAGTTGGTTATGACTACCCAATTGTTACCGGTAATCAGGGAAAGATGTAGGAAATAAACCATTCAACATGAACATACACTTTTTATAACTTTGCAGTTCATTCCACATTTTAAAACTTAAGCAAATACCATGCAAAGCCAGTATCAATATTTAAAATGTAACTGGAATAAGTGATGAACTTTTTCTCAACATATTCCCTAAACCAGCAAGGACTACCCAGTTGAACGGCCCCTTCTATGCCTTGTTAATGACGTGCTGAAAGACACATTAACGATGGCACTAATGAACCCATACTCAAGGAGCCTCTGCTAATTAGAATCATAAAGTATGCTGGTGGTTCATTTGTGAATCCCTCTGGGGTAGAAGGTGGTGGAAACCATACAAACATTTCAAAGGAGCAAAAACACTGCTACCGTTTATGGTAGTCATGAGCCGGAGGAAGCAAAATTAACCAACAAAGGGAGAATAAAATAAATAATGGCTTTTTGTTTGTTTGAGTTTTTTATTCGTCATCATCATCATCATTATTATTATTATTATATTCTAAGGCAGTATCTCATTGTGTGGTTCTCTCATCAAGGTTCCTAGCTAATGTCTAGGTAAACCAGGGGACCTCTAACTCATGACAACCTTCCCATCTCTGTCTCCCAGTGCAGGTAGGCAAACCATGTCCGGCACACTTCTGCATCAACTTCAAGCAAAATTAGAATGTAACTAGACCCCAAAGAGAGAAATATAAAAAGAAATACGAAATGAGGGATGAGGGTGGGGGGAAAGTCGGCCTAATAGTCAGAGCGGGCAAAAGGGTCCAAGGAGAGCAGAATTAGAGTAACGGAAGGTTAGACGGGGAAGGATGGGAAATAAGACAAACCAGAAAAGGAGCTTGGCCAGTGACCAGGAGTGAGGAGAAGGTAGGAAATGACAGGCACACGCGAAGAAGCTGAAGCAATTTATATGCTGGAGGAAAAGGAAAGAAAGGGGATCCGATATAAAGGTAAAAGCTGAAATTAAGAGAAATATTGATTCTGAGTAGCTAAAACAAAGAGAAAAGCCTAACTCTGTATGAGAGGGGAGCAAATCAATGTATGCTTTTGGAAAGGAATCATTAGAAGCCACGAGAAAGAAGCAGCGGCAAAGGGGAAAGGAACAGAGGGTAAGGGAGGACAGTGTGTGGGGACAGAGTCAAGCGTTAAAGAGAAGTGGCATTAGGTGAGTAGAAAACAGGAACACTCCCATAACCCCATACTCTGGTGAGTGAGAGTGAGCTGACTCTCTTGAACATGCCATGGTTCCCTTCTTGGCCAGGAGGTGTGCTGAGTGCTCTAACAGACACATACCCACATACTTGTAAGTTATTTGGTCTTTGAGAGAGCATTTAGATTATCTCCCCCCCCCCAAAAAAAAGCTATTTTTCACCCTGGAGGAAGGAGGAAGATGAGCCCACAACTGAGAAGCCTGCAGAGTACTTCAGTTTGAAGAGACATGATGGGAATATCAAAAACCAACTCTTGCCTCTTGATACTAAGGTAGTAACGTTGTCAAGGGGTAATTTTGAAAGCATTAAACCCATAACCTCCACGCAAATACACATTTCCCCCCCATAATGGCAGTATGTAATCTGATACCTAAGAAACCATGAAAAGAAGGTAGGGTTTGGAGGGTTTCTGCTCCCCACCACCTCGCCCCCCAGACAGGAGGTGAAGAACAGCAGGACTGGGAGAACAGAAATGAGCAGCGAAGAAAGGCTGTCTGGGGAAGGGGCACCTGGCTGAAAGGAGTGGACTGAGCCGGGGACAGCAGAGGGGCAGAAGCAAGCTGCATCTGAGGCAGCCAGGCTTGGCAGCTGCAGGGAGCCGGGGACTGGAGTGAGGATGCGGGTGGGAGCGGGACAAGGCACACCTCCAAATTCATCATCATTTCTGACTCCTCGGACTCTTCGGACTCCTCTTCGCCCTGCTGTTCCATCTCCTGAGATCGGTGGATGAGCTGTTGGAGGAGGTAGGAGGAGGCGCTTTTGAAAGTCCCTTTCGTCCTCTGTCCCATGGGAAAAGGAGGCCATGGTGTCCGACGATGTTTTGCTGCGAGCGCCAGTATTGCCTGGATTACAGCGCGAGAAGCGCCCAAGCCTCCCTGGAGAGAGGATGCTTTCCCTTTGGAGAGATTTTTTTCGTAGGCTGCCATCTTGTTTACACGCGTTGCCTAGGAGACCGACGTCCGGCCAAGGACGCCGCTAAGATTTCTGGGGGTTGTAGTTTCATCTCTCGGTGCTCGCTCAGGCTGTCGAGGGGGTCTCTGTGGGCAGTCACTTTTGCAGTACTTTCCCCTGCTGCTTCCTTTATTTTTCCTCTCCTCAGATGGTTCAGTCGCTAGTGTGTTCCTTTTTGCTTGTGTTTTTCACCCCCCTTTCCAACCCCTTTCCTTTGTCTCCAACGATCTGTTTTAGAACTTGTTCACCTCACATTTGATAACATTCACACAAGCATCCCCAGTCTTGCTTCATCCACACCATCGAACTTTGGAAGTGTCTAGTTAGGATTTCTATTGATGCGACAAAACACCATGACCAAAAGACAAGTTGGGAAAGGAAGGAAGGTTTTATTTGGCTTATACTTCCATATTGCTTTTCATCACTGGAGAGTCAGGACAGGAACTCAAACCGTAGGATTCTAGAGGCAGGAGCTGGAGCAGAGACCATGGAGAGAGGTCTGCTTACTGGCTTGCTCCCCATGGCTTGCTCAGCCTGCTTTCTTATACAACCCAGGACTGCCAGCCCAGGGGTGGCACCACCCACTAGGGGCTGGGTCCTCTCTTAGTGAGAAAACGCCTTTCCTCAATGGAGGCGCCTTCCTCTCTGATGACTCTAACTTGTGTCAAGTTGACATAAAACTAGACTAGCCAGTACAGGAAGGGTTTGGCATCCCTAATTCTGCCAGTGGGTAAGCTAGTAAAGCTGAAATTTAGCGCTATGCACAGCGAGGTGGGAGATGCTGAGGGTATGACTTAGAAGCCCTGACTCCTCTCCTTTCCCTTTCATTGTGGATAATGAAGAGGAACTACCAAAAGACTTCTGAAAGCTCATTTGCGGTTAATTTACATTCCTGGCCAACTCTAAGCCTGGTCCTGGGGGGGGGGGCATTAATCGTGGGAGGGAAGAGTGAATCCCACTGACAGCATATCTGAAGCCTCCGAAGAGCTGTTAGCATCCCATAAATAACTGTATTAGTCAGGTGACCTGCATTGGTAATTATTTTCATCCTGTTGAATAGTTCTCTTTACATTTTATAAAATATTCTCCTTGCAGGATTACAGAGCATGGTTTTATGCTAGTGTAATTTTATGAAACCCAAATCCTATAGCCTTAAGCTACACACACACACACACACACACACACACACACACACACACACACACACCCTTGTGGTAACTATTATTGCTATACAATGATGACAATAGAGATCCTCACAGGGACGTTGTCCTCATTCTCTGGCCTTGCAGGGTCTTTTCTCCACGCTTCAGTGACAGCAGTTACAAATATAAAACGATCCTGCTGATGGTTGTCAGGGGAGAAGAAGAAGAAAAACCCTTATGGACACTATCCATTGACTATTAGCTGTTTTAGTGCTTGAGGGACCATTAAAACTGACATAAAGCTTTCAGAATTACCTCCCTTCATTATCTTGCTGCTCATAACTGGAAAGGAAACAAAGTATCTCTCTGCTAGACTTGCCTTGCTTCTTATTCCTTTTTCTAGTAGGTACATATTCTGACAGGGGATTTTTCTCCAACCTCATTGCATTAGGGTCCAGCTCCACCTAACTAGGAAGACTAGACTGTTTGTTCTCGCCTTGCAGAAATTATAATAATGCAAACAAATCCTATGTGTGTTTCCAATGACTTAACTGGCATTTGTAATAGAGAGAACTTTGCCAATGGCAATCTGCTGAGAAAAGTGTCTTATTGCAGATTTGGGATCTGTCAAGGAATAATCCAAAACATGAAAAACATGCTTGTTATGCAAACACTAGAGTAAAACACAAGGAAAGATACTGTTCACGTCAATCAGTAAGGGAATGCTAAAGATGGCAGCTGCATTCAGGGTCCATAAGAGAAGGAATTTGGAAATAAGTTTGCTAAATCTACTGTTAGAAATGTTTGAGGTTCCAAAGACAAAGACCATCACTTCAATTGAAGTGTTTCAACAGGGTAAAACTTTACTCTTGTTCAGGAGAGTGAACTAGACGGAACAAACGCACAGACACAGAGACAGGAAGTAGAGATGTGTTTGTTTATTCTAACTCAGGTGCTGTGTCTTTTCCCCATTGGCTAAGATCTGACTTCAGCCTCCCAAGGCTGGGCAGTTTTGAAAGAATCACAGCAAGATCAAGGAAGGTGTATGGGGGCCAATGACTTTAATCTGAGGTTGTGGAGAGGGTCTTTGTGTGAACAAAGGTTTTATTAGGTGGGATTATTAAAACATTTGCATAAAAGTCTTACTGGGTGGGGGGAGATAAAAGATCTGAATTCCTTGTCCTAAACACAAGTACTTGATAGAAAAGACTCATATTTAATATTTCTTACAGAGACAAAACTGGTTAATTCCCTACAACACAATAAAACCTAGCCTTTGGCATGTAATAGTGCCATGCATTTGGTCTCTTTATTTCTTCATGTTCACATCTGCCTTTAAAATCACCTGGTGGGTGGGGCCATTGAAGCTCAAGGAAGTTCAATAACTGGTCTAAGGGTGGCTTGCCTTGCCTGCATGCTTGTGTGCCTGTGTGTGTGTGTGTGTGTGTGTGTGTGTGTGTGTGTGTGTGTGTAGATGTAGAGTGACCATCTCCACAGTCTACAGTCTACCTTAAGCTAGAACTTTTTGCAGATGTAAAAAAGTAATCAAAAAAAGGAGAAGGAAGGAAGAAAGGAAGGAAGGGAGAGAGGGAGGGAGGGAGGGAGGGAGGGAGGGGGAGGGAGGGAGGGAGGCGAAAGAAAACTTCGCTGGAAGACTCATCATAGAAACTTTACAGCCGGGCAGTAGTGGTTCATGCCTTTCATTCCATCACTCAGGAGGCAGATCTCTGTGAGTTCCAGGCCTGCCAGTTCCAGGACAGTTACACAGAGAAACCACGTCTCACTCTCTAAAAACAACAAAACAAAGGAAACCTTATAGTCGAGGCTTTCCACTATGACTAAAGAATCACTCTTTCATGTGAACTCAGAGCACATTAGACTCATAAGGAACCAAAATATCTGAAAACCAACTCCTTCTACAGAGCTAAGTGATGGTCTTCCAGGGGCAGCAATTTTCCCCCGACTGCCAAAACTTGGACTGCTCGGTGTTCACCAATGTGTCTACCAAACTGGAACTATATTACTTGATGCCTTGTTTTGGAATTGACTTGACACAAGCCTGGACATTTCTGGGAAGAGAGGATCTTCATTGAGAAAATGCCTAAGACTGGCCCATGGGCAAGTCTGGTGATGTCTTGGTTAAGGATTGATGTGGGAGGGCCCATCCCATGAGGGAGGGTGTCACTCCAGGGCAAGTGGTCCTGAATTGCTGCAGGCTGAGCAAGCCAGTAAGTAGTGTCCCTCCAAGGCCTCTGCTTCAGTTCCTGTCTGGTTCCTGCCCTGACTTCCTCAGTGATGGAGTGAGACCGGAGACCTGTAAGCTGAAATCAACCCTTTTCTTCCCAACTTGCTTTTAGTTACAGGGTTTTACTACAGCAACAGCAGCCCCAAGATACCAGGTAAAGAGAACAACACTGAGCACAGGGTAGGATGTGAGGGAAGAGTGTGTTTTGCTGAAACTCTTTCAGTTAGTATAAAACACCAGTAATTGCATCCATGTATCCACAGCTTCCTATAAACCAGAACTGTAAGAGACGGGAGGGGGCTGCTCAAGTGCTTGTGTGTGTGTGTGCGTGTGTTTATGTGTGTGTGCTTGTGTGTGTGTGCATTCGTGCGTGTGTGTATGAGTAAAGATGCCAAGGCCTGGGAAGTCTTGGGCTAGACCAAGGCAGTAGGCTATGGTCAGCTGGCAACACAGGGCCTTCTCTGTTAGCTCTGGATCCTTACTTGGAGAAATGAAAACACGAAAGGGTGACAGCATAATGGGTATAACTCTGTCAAGGAGGCCCCTAGGGCAGGAAGCTGTTGTCAGAGAATCTTCACTTGGCCAATGCAAATGACAAGGCTAAGTTCAGAGGGAAGAGTTTGCTAACCCTGGCCTTGGCTGCTTGCCCGCTTTCCCTCAGTGCTGTCTGAATGCAGCTGGTGTCTTCTCCTTCCCGGAGCCAGCACTCTAAGTGAGACCTTACCTCGTCGAAGATGTGGAGAAGGCAAGGTGGGTCCTCTGCTGCCTAAATGTAGAAAGAGAGCAAAGCAAAGAATGCGTATCTCCTTCCCCTCCACATACGGCTCTCTTTCCCCCATTGTGCATTAGGAAAAGTGGTACTTCTTCAGGCTGTAGAGTCTGGAACACTCTGAACTCAAGGGAACTGTGGGTGTGTGGGGGGGTACTGTTTCTGGGTTTTAAAGGTGTTGTGGGAATTCATTCTGTCAATAGTTTTGGCAGATCAGTGTTAGGGCGTGATTTCTGTGTGCAGACATGATCTCTTATAAGGAAGAGGAGGGGCCTCTCCTGCTCTCTGATGGTGGCTGGAGATTTCATTGCAGCTTTCATTGACCCCAAGGCATGCTTCCCTGCCACGATGGCGTTGGCCTCTGAACTTAGCCTTGTCGTTTGCATTGGCCAAGTGAAGAACTGCAGCAAATGTGACACCGGCAGAGACTTGAACATGCTTGGCCATCGGGCTGTTCTTTCCTGTGGACACTGTGACTATCCTGTGGCAACACTTGGGATAGTGACTAGATAGCCATACTGGGCCTAATACTCCATGGTCTTAGCCACTGGCCTTCCATCAACCAATATGTGAACATGGGCAGTCTGGATCATCTGGTATCAGAAGACTTGCCAGTCAGTCCAGATTTATGGCTCAAAATGACCCAAAGGGACAGATGTTGCGGACAACTCAAAGATTCACGGTGACACACAAGTGTTTGTAAGCCACTGAGCTCTGGGGGGTTTGACAGGCATCAGAAATTACCTCATACAAACAGAGCTTCGATTGTTCACTGTCCCATCTGAAAGACTGAGGTTAAACCCTTAATTTTATAAGTCT